CTGATATTTTCTACTGAAATTTCTGGTATCGGCTTTAATTGATATAATAAATATGCCAGAGGAATTTCAGAAAAATCGTTGGAGCAGAAGTCCGTAACTAAAAGGCGGTCAAAATTCAGCTGTGAAATTGTTTTGGAATTTCAAAAATAAATTACTATCAGGTAGAAGGAGCCACCAGTTTGAATTTACGGGACAAGTAAATTCATCGCTTGCTAATTCTTAAAACAAAAGCCGATTGCCTATCGTGCTATTCTTTGAAAGGTACTTTTTAGTTTTAGAAGAACTATAAATTGCTCCAAACCTTGCTCTGAAGTAGAATGACTTGTTCGTCGACAGTTTTAAAATATCCCTTGGCAGTTTTGGCTCAAACTCCTGCTGCATACATTTTGATGTATTTCCATGCATTTTCAACGACTTTTACTGCCGTTCGTTGCTTCCAACTCAGGAAAAAAGTATTGAGATTGGACGCTACCTCGTATCAGAGCTCAGAAAGAACTGTCCAACACCTTTGTTTATGACTACAAAGTGAGCACGAGCGGTAGTTCTGCGTGGAATTCGCACCTCACCCAGGGGGGACGAACGACAATGATGACCATGCTTGTGAACCAAATAACATCACAGTGCAAAATAAAATTATCGCAAAAATACTGCCCGTGAATAAATTTACAACTCTGAAATTTTTGTCTCTCCTTCCTTCAATGAATGGGTATTTTTTTCTTGATTATTATGTTTTGCTCTGCAATACATGTTTATACAGATCGGTTCACAGACATAGGCATCATTGTCACTCGTCCCCCCTGGCTGAGGTGCGAATTCCTCGCAGAGCTGCCCCTCGTGCTCATTTTCTGGTCATAAACAAAGGTACTGGACAGTTCCATCTGAGCTTCGATACTAGGTAGCTTACAATCCCAATACCTTTATCCTGAATTGGAAACAACGTAAAGCAGGAAAAGCCGTTACGGATGCTTTGCAATACATCAAAATGTATGTAGCAGGAGTTTGAACCAAAACTGCCAAGGGATATTTTAAAAATGTCGAGGAACAAGTCATTCGATGTCGGAGCAAAGTTTGGAGCAATTAATAGTGCTTCTAAAAACTGAAAAGTACCTTTTAAAGAATAGCACGATAGGCAATCGGCTTCTGTTTTCCGAATTAGGAAACACACTGAAGTTGCTTGTCCCGAAAATTGAAACTGGTGTCTCCTTCTTCCTGACAGTAATTTATTTTTGAAATTCCAAAACAATTTCACAGCTGAATTTTGACCGACTTTTAGTTACAGACTTCTGCTCCAACGATTTTTCTGAAATTCCTCTGGCATATTTATTATATCAATTAAAGCCGATACCAGAAATTTCAATAAAAAAAATCAGCAAAATTTTTTATTAGACGCGAGTTTCTTTGAACAGTACGGTCCTTTTAAGCGCTAATTTCTCAAGAAATATTTACCATCAATGAAATCGGAATATTTCGTCCTATTGCCGAATGATATCTGTTGTTAATTGCAAAGTTTCGCAGCCATCGCGTTAAAATCGAAAAAGTTATGACGGAAAATTTGTCACAGCTAAATGCTCTTGTGTTAATCACGGAGCCACCTTAAGAGGACCAAACTGCAACGGAGGACACAGCTACACGCGCGCGCCTCATCCTAACCCCCAATCCTCTCTCACCCCAAAAACATATCAGTAGCGACTGGGTATTCGACTGGGTATGAGCCTGGTACAGGTGCACAGGAAAAAGGAAGTTGTTTCTTTTTCGTGGTCAAGATTTGGAAATTCACCATTTTTCGTCGTTTTTCCTCGAGGGAAATCATGCAACAAAGAAGTTACGAGAACAAGTTAAAAATAAATGTTTTGGAGGTTTATCGAGTCTGTCTCGGTGTGCATCGTTGTTGAAGGCAGCTGGGCGAGAAATGCCTGCTTGCAGTTCATGAGATTCCTTTGTATTAGAATGCTTAAACTGCTTTCTGCCTTGTTCTTAATTTTACGGTATCTGCATTTTTTGTTTCAGGATGCAGCAAAGGCACTGAACACCCTTCAAACTAAAGCGCAAGATCTGGAGCAGCAAGCGGGAGTAAAAGTCAGCCATTTTTATAACTGTTGTTTAGTTGGTTTAATTGATTTAGCGTAATGTTTTGTGTTGTACCGACCTTAAGTTTAGGTGGACGGCGACATATATAGAGGACGGTGACTTTGGCCACGGCGGCTTGGGGAAGGACGACGTTCACTTTTCGAGAGAAACAAACTTTAAGTCTCAGTAGAGGTGACGGTCGAAGACGTTTTTTTTAACTTTCGGAAGGTTCGAGAGAATGAGTTCTCTGAAAGAGATCCGAGTGATATTGGTCTACTTTTATATGATGGTGTCATAGCAGATGAGGAATTCGTTTTCTTGTACAATGAAATCTAGTTGAGCGTTTTGTTACTCGAAAGAGAATGTTCGTCGTTTCATTGAGCCTATTTGCGATTACGTATTGCCGTATTTTCCCACGCTCCAGGGTTCTTAGCCTAACAACGGCTGGTAATCGAGCTTACACAGTTCTGTGCTTGAAGCGGTAGGGTTCACTTACAAGAATTTCTTTAGCAAGCTGAATATCGTGAACTTTCGTCCACTCCACATTGAGTCTTAAAATAAGAACAAATAATTAACACGATGGACAATGCGCGCGATAAACAAGCCGCGAGTTCCCTCATCCTGCTTTATCAAGAGGTTTATTTTGTCGAATAATGAACCTATGAACACGTAATTTTATTTTGGCCCATAACGTCAGCAGAGAAAATGAACTCTAATATACTTCGTGAATAAAGAAAAGGGTAGAAGCCGATGTCCACATGATGCGAGAATATTAAATGTCATAATTTTACCGCTGGGAATTCTAATCGTTCAGTTGTACCATTTGGACAAGTTCAGTGTGCTATATTCCATCATAAAATAGTGTTTTATAACATAACTAAGATAGTACGCGCACTCTGATTGGCCGAGAGGCGTTTTTGCGTGAGAGTATGTAAACATTAAATTTAAACATGGTTGTGACGTCTAGATGTTTTGCTTTTCGGGCGCTAATCACGGAAGCACGAATTTGAAAAAGGTTTTGGTGGAAAAACTCGACAAGTTTACTTTATTTACCCATTTCCTCGTCGGTTGAAACTTGAAAGATCTTTAGAAACATGCTTTGTCAATTTTTTTTCGCTTGAGCTGACATTTTAAGCGAGAAAAACCCGTATTTTGGAAAGCATCTTTTTTGCAAAGCAAAGACTGATTACGCGTACAAGCTTCGCGTACAAGACTTCGCGACTGGTAAGAATTTCTGTTTTAATCATTGCTGTAAACAAGAGAGTTTTGCTTTTTTTTCTCGGGAAAGTTATTTTATAAAACGGTCGGTGTAAAATGCAGACTGCGGACCAGGGGTAAAATGCAGAGAGAGTGTAAAATGCAGACTGCAGACTGAGAGTAAAACGCAGGCTGGGTGCAAAATGCAGAATGAAGACTGTACTCCTTCTTCTCCAAATAGCTAGCTGGTAATCAGTTAAACACCTCGCTTCCTAGTTGAAGTACATTACACATTCTCGCCAAAAGTTCAATGAACATCCAAACAGCTAAAGTCTGCGTACCTTGATTTTCAATCCTTTCAAAGAAGGTCATCCAAATTTCCTGCAGAACATCTTCCTTTGTTGTTGGAATGATTTACTCCCTTTTTTATCGCCATAATTCTTTTGAATTATTTCTGTACAGTATTTTGGGTCAGCAGCTTTTATTTATTAAGCGTAAACATGGTTGTGTTGTCAATTCACGGTCACGTGTATCGAAATTTGAAGCGTGAGGTCTCTCGGACGGAAAAAAGCTTAAAGATTGCGGTGACTAGTATGTTTTCGCGTCGTCGGTGACGTTCCAGAACGAGGAAGAAGGAGATGTCAAGTAAGTGTTCGTTTACATGTATTTGCGGGATTGTTTTGCCTTTAGACCCTTCCGCGACTACAGTTTATAATTATGCTCGGTCTGCATTTTACCCCAACTTGCGTTTTACTCTCAGTCTGCAGTCTGCATTTTACACACAGTCTGCATTTTACTCCTGGTCTGCAGTCTGCAGTCCGCAATCAGCGTTTTACACTGACCGTTTTATAAAAGCAATAGAAAACTTTTTTCCTGCGTTTGCATAGCCTGATATAAACACTCGAGTGGTTGGGAGAATTCTCGACAGTTATGCAAACCCTCGACTTCGTCTCGGGCTTGCATATATTAACTGTCTCGAATTCTCCCAACCCCTCTTCTGTTTTTTTCAGGCTATGCAAACACGGAAAACGTTTTCTATTGCTTAAATAATACGTAATTGAGAAAGGTTTACCATTTGAAGTAAACTAGACATTAAAGAAACAGATTAAAGCGGTATTCTGTCAAAATAAAGATATTTTGAAGACAAAAACACGAAGAGCACAGGAAAAAATAACGGATTCCCATTTTTGGATATTTTAAGGTATTTAAAGAATACCCATAAAAATCCCAACCAGGGAATTCCCAACCAAGTTCCCTGATTGGGACTTCTCTCACTTTTCAACATTTGGGATTTTTATGCGTATTCTTTAAATACCCTAAAATATCCAAAAATGGGAATCCGTTATTTTTTCCTGTGGAGAAAACTCTCGTTCTCGAGACACCGCCGCACTAATTAAGCTTTCTCACCGTCGCGACGTGCAGTCGACGTAGGCTGGACGGCTGAGATATATGTAAATTAGGCCCAAATCGGGCAACTTTTATTTCCGCCTTACCGTCCACCCTAACTTAAGAGGACCAAACTGCAACGGAGGATACAGCTACACGCGCGCGCCTCATCCTAACCCCCAATCCTCTCTCACCCCAAAAACATACAAATAGCGACTGGGCATTCGACTGGGTATGAGTCTGGTACAGGTGCACAGGAAGAAGGAAGTTGTTTCGTTTTCGTGGTCAAGACTTGGAAATTCACCATTTCTCGTCGTTTTTCCTCGGCGATTCATAGAACGGCGGAAATCATGCAACAAAGAAGTTACGAGGGCAAGTTAAAAATAAATGTTTTCGAGGTTTATCGAGTCTGTCTCGGTGTGCATCGTTGTTGAAGGCAGCTGGGCGAAGAATGCCTGCTTGCTGTTCATGAGATTCCTTTGTATTAGAATACTTAAACTGCTTTCTGTCTTTTTCTTAATTTTACGGTATCTGCATTTTTTGTTTCAGGATGAAGTAAAGGCACTGAACACCCTTCAAACTAATGCACAAGATCTGGAGCAAATTCGACGTAGTCGAGGCCGACTTGCTCGCGACTACTTGGCTGAGATGAGAAGTTTCACAGAACGAGCGGGAGTAAAAGTCAGCCATTTTTATACCTGTTGTTTAGTTGGTTTAATTGATTTAGCGTAATGTTTTGTGGTGTTTCATGAAAAATCGGTTTGATGCTACTTGTTTTCATCCTTCTGATGTTACCTATTTTACGTGCGTCAAGTTTTTTGTTGCCCTACGAGTACAGGCCCTTCGATCTTCCTTCGACTTATCTAGGAAGATCGAAGAGCCTCTACTCGCAGGGTCTGCCTCGTACACAGTCGTCTCTCTCTCGATGAACCAACCTTAAGTTTAGGTGGACGGCGACATAGAGGACGGTGACTTTGGCCACGGCGGCTTGGGGAGGGACGACGTTCACTTTTCGAGAGAAACAAACTTTAATTATGTCTCAGTAGAGGTGACGGTCAAAGAGGTTTTTTTAACTTTCGGAAGGTACGAGAGAATGAGTTCCCTGAAAGAGATCCGAGTGATTTTGGTCTACTTTTAGATGATGGTGTCATATCAGATGAGGAATTCGTTCTCTTGTACAACGAAATCTAGTTAAGCTCTTTGTTACTCGAAAAAAGAGAATGTTCGTCGTTTCATTGAGCCTATTTGCGATTACGTTATTTACGTATTGCCATATTTTCCCACGCTCCAGGGTTCTTAGCCTAACAACGGCTGGCAATCACAGTTCTGGGCTTGAAGCGGTAGGGTTCACTTACAATAATTTCTTTAGCAAGCTGAATTTCGTCAACTTTCGTCCACTCCACATTGACTGTGAAAATAAGAACAAATAATTAACACGATGGACAATGCGCGCGATAAACAAGCCGCGAGTTCCTTCATCCTGCTTTTTTGTCGAAAAATGAACCTATGAACACGAAATTTTATTTTGGCCTATAACGTAAGCAGAAAAAATGAACTAAATACTTCGTAAATAAAGAAAAGGGTAGAAGCCGATGTTCACAGGATGCGAGAATATTACGTGTCATAATTTTATCGCTGGGAATTCTAATCCATTCCTGCAGTTGTACCATTTGCACAAGTTCAGTGTGCTATGTTCCATCACAAAATAGTGTTATAATAAGTAATTGAGAAAGGTTTACCATTTGAAGTAAACTAGACATTACAGAAACAGATTAAAGCGATATTCTGTCAAAATAAAGATATTTTGAAGACAAAAACACGAAGAGAAAACTCACGTTCTCGAGACACCGCCGCACTAAGCTTTCTCACCGTCGCGACGTGTAGTCGACGTAGGCTGGACGGCTGAGATATATGTAAATTAGGCCCAAATCGGGCATACCGTTCATCCTAACAACAAAACTATTCACCCTAAGGCCTGTTTCAAACGGCGTGTTACTGCCGTGCTCAGCTAGCTCGTTTAGCTCGAAGTTACAACATCTGGCGACGAGGATGGGATCACTTTGTGTTATAGGGCTATTTCGTGCCATTTCCTACACCGGATGATCTTACTTCACTTCGTTTCGTTCGTTTGTGCTTTCACGCCCGGGGGTTACTCCCTTATAAGGGCTTCATGGGGACGTGCGGTAAGTGCTCGCTCGGTTCTTTTGGTGAATTTGATCCGTCCTCTGAATCTTTTACGGCTTACCTTGAAAGACTCGACCAGTTCTTTGTAGCCAACGATATTGGAAAATGTGCTGATGATGCCACTGCGGCTGTTGTTCGGGCAGCTAATCAGAAAAAGGTCGCCGTGATGATCACCGTCATTGGTAAGAAGACATACAGCACTCTTCGCAATTTGTGCAGTCCTGAGAACCCAAAAGAAAAATACATGTGAGGAATTATGTGAACTACTACTACAACACTTTAAGCCCAAACGATTGGAAGTTGCTGAATCCTACAGATCTCATCGATGTCGTCAAGAGAAAAATGAGAGCGTGTCGGTTTACAGTGCTCGTAAGACATTTGGCCGCCACTTGTAATTTTGGCGAATTCCTGAAGCGCTCGCTCCCCGATCAGTTTGTGTGTGGGATTTGAAACCCTGCGACTCGAAAAAAACTATTGAGTGAAGATCGAACATTTCCAGAGCCTCTCCAAGTGGCTATCGCCGACGAAATCGCGGCTTAATCTCATTGCCTTCGGCCCCTGGATAGCCTGCGTCGATAGCCTGGAAAAATAGCTATACCGGAAAAAAAATTCGCAGAAAATTGCGTTACTTCCGATTACCCCCAAATTTGGCCCACAGGAAGTTTAAAATAGATTTAGCCTTGATTTAGCCAATTATGTGCCTAGTTCCAGCCCCCGGGAAGTTCTGAGCTTCACGCAACGATTTTTCATATCGATAGACTGTAGTTATTGTTTTCTGGTCGGCAGGATTTGCCCTCTGATGCAAGGGCAATTTCTTTGACCTCTTTTGAAGCGTAAAGCTTTTTTTGTTACGGCTGAATAAGGGTTCCAGTTTTCTCCAAAGTGCCTTCTGGATCTGAATAACTAAGCGAATTTCTTTAGTCCGTGAGTGTAATGTTTTTCTGCAATGGCGAGTGTAGCGACACTTGATTGACAGTAAGCGTAATCGGATTACTAGAAAATTGGTAGGCGTTATGCAAAAACATAGGCTCTTAGAGCAGGCGCTCCCTTCCCTTTTCCCTTTCTCCCTCCCCCTCCCCCTCCCCTTTTTGTTCCTGCCACGCAGGCTAACACTTTCACTAGTGTTGGAGCGACTTCTTAATGCTGGATTCCGACTAAACAAGGCAAAGTGCAAGTTTTTTCAATCATCAGTTGTCTACCTGGGACATGTGATTGATGGAGGGGGCCTACACCCCACTCAGGATAAACTTGAAGCTATTCAGGATGCTCCCAGGGCGAAAGATGTTACGGCTTTGAAATCTTTTCTGGGACGTATAATGTTCCATTCACGGTTCATGGCTCATCATTCTACAGTCCTAGCCCCTTTACACCAACTACTTAAAAATGGTGGTTCATAGAGATGGTTGAAGGCTGAAGAGGCTGAAATCACAGACAGTGGTACATTATGATCATACCTTGCCCCTCTTTCTTTCATGTGATGCCTCGTCTCATGGTGTTGGAGTGGTCCTGTCTCATCAAATTGATGGACAATTTCGACCGGTGGTTTTTTCTTCTTGCACTTTGACTCCTGTTCAACAAAACTGTTCTCAGCTAGAAAAGGAGGCCTTCAGTATCATCTTTGGATGAAAGAGATTCCGACAGTATCTCTATGGTCACTCCTTTACATTTTTAACTGACCACCGACCTTTGCTGACTCTCTTGGGTCCTCAGCGACCGGTTCCTGCTCATGCTGCAGCGCAACTTCAAAGATGGGCTCTTATCCTTGCTTCATACAATTACAATTACAAGATTGAGTATCATAGTACTGGAGCACATGTAGATGCCGATAGCATGTCTCGCCTTCCCTTGCCTATGACATGGTCTCCCAAATGTGAAAATGTTGAATGCTATTTTTTGGACACTGAAGTTGTCACTAATGTGACCAGTCAGATGATCAAGAAGGAGACTCAACGGGATCCAGTTTTATCCCAAGTGTACAATTACGTCATTAGCGGTTCGCCACATGTAGTGGATCCCAGTCTGGTACCATTTAAGACAAGACAAGACGAGTTAAGCACACGGAATGGTTGCTTATTATGGGGTGCGCGTGTTATTGTTCCTCCATCGCTCCAAGAGAAAGTGTTGTAAGAACTGCATGACACTCACCCTGGGATCTCTTGAACGAAAGCTTTGGCACAATCTTAAGTGTGGTAGCCCAACATGGATTCTGACATTGAATTAACTGTTTCGTCATGTAGCACTTGCCAGTCTATGGGATCAGATCCTTCCCCAGTTCAAATTCATCCATGGACCTTTAATCCAGCACGACTGTGGTCTCGCATTCATGTGGATTTTGCAGGCCAATCTCTGGCTGTACCTACCTTGTTGCTGTAGATGCTTACAGTAAATTTCCAGAGGTAGTCAAATTGTCCAGTACATCAGCTAAAGCAACTGTGACCACCTTGCGTGACATCTTCAGCAGGCATGGGTTACCTGAAATTATTGTGTCCAACAGTGGGCCCCAATTCACTGCTACAGAATTTGAACAATTTTGTACCAGCAATGGAATACTACACTGTACTTCAGCAGCATAGAAGCCATCTACAAATGGTCAAGCAGAACGTGTCGTACAGATTTTGAAACCAGCTATTAAACAAGCCCACCTTACTAATGCAGATGTAGATACTGTTACTGCAAATCATTTATTGGTTTACTGGACCATGCCTCATTCCATCACAGGTGAACCACCCTCACTGCTTCTCATGGGCCAGAGACAGTGCAACCAGCTAGATTTGCTGACACCTTCAGTTGAAAAATATGTTGAGGCTCGCCAATACAGTACTATGGTGAGTCGTACAGCACATAGAGGCTTCCGCAAGTTTAATGACGGTGATTCCTGCTCTCCTGCCAAAGATTTCTGATTCTGCTAATGTCGATGACGCTCTGATAGTTCAACCGGATTCTTTATGTGTATATCGTGCGGATACGGAAAAATGTTATCCTACATGGACAACCTGTAGGCCCCCAAGACACTTGAAAGATTACGAGTCAAAGTGATGGCTGTAACTGACTCAAAACCTTTTCCTTTTTTTATTATGCCTTTTTGTATTTTTTTTTTTTTTAAAAAGGGTCATGTTATATCGTGACTTTGTTTTGTTATTGTTGTGTTACATTACACAGTGGAACCTCGATTTAACGAACCTCTATATAACGAAGTTCTCAGTATAATGAATGATTTTCTTCATCCCGGCCAAAATTGCAGTAAAATGTATGGAACACAACCTCGATTTAACGAACCTCGATTTAACGAAACCCTCGTTATAATACTATTAAATAATATTTAATGTAGTTGACGACCAGGAGCTATGGTCTCGGGTGTTTTTGGCATTCTTTGGTAGCGCGTTGGTCGTCTGTAGCGTTGTGCGTGACTATGTTTGCGTTTGTAGCGTTTACCATTGTTCGTGAGCATGGGGGCAGATGCCTGTCCAGCAGTACGGAGTTTACGTTGTGTTTGCGTTGTACTCGAAGCTTTGTTAGCGTGGCGTGGCGTTGCAGTAGCATAGCGTTTCTCTTGGTTCTGCCCTAGTTTTGGTTAGCTTGGTTTCTCAGTTCGAGTAGCATAGCGTTTTCTCTTGGTTCTGTCAAAGTTTTTTTCCGGTCGAAGTGGTTTTCGTTACCGTTATTCGTCGTTGTTCCTGTTGTGGTTCGTCCTCTGCTGGAGAGTTTTTGGTTGTCCTCTGTAATGCCGCGCCCATCTCGCTCGACCAACAACAGCTTATCGGCGGGCCTTCCTACCGAAGACTCCCTTCCATCTACGGTAACGTCTGAAAGTCCTGTGTCGAGTACGGCTTCTAGTTCTTGGTCGCCTCAGTTGGCTGACTCCCTCACCGAGACTGTGGTTCGGGCAATCGGAAACTCCATTTCCGCCATTATTTCATCGATCCAGAAAAACGCCTCCTCGCAGGCTTCTTCTTCGGTTCCAGGCGTTTCTGCTAGTGGGGCTCCACAACCTTATTTTCTTCAGTGTCCGCTTCGAGTGCGAGTACAAGTGACGGTGTTTCTTCGGTGGCTTCAGGTACATTTACCCTTCCCGCGTTTGGTCCTACGTTTACGCCAGTACCGGCCATTACCGTCTCGAGCTCGGCCCGCCCCGTGGCTCCTACTCCCTCCACTTTTGTATCGCCTGGCGTTACTAGTGTTCTTCCAAGCCTTGAGTCTTCGATGGCATCTCCCAAGTCTGAGAAGGCTTTTATCGTTGGTCCGGGGCATGCCCCTATTCCTTCAAAACTGGTGTCAAAAATTGTAGGTGGCCAGTTTGTCGAATTGGCAGATTTGTTGTCCGTGAACCTCCGCGCCGTGGAGCAGGAGCCGCAAACGTTCCTCGATGGTAAGCTCGTGGTGTCCTCGTCAAAACGCAGGCAAGTGGAAATAAAAGACATTTTGACTTGGACGGAAGCCTTTACTATTTTTCAGATGGTGCTGTGCGCAGCTCACCCTCATCGTTCGCCCGATCTCTCCAAGTGTAAGCTTCTTATCATTCAAACGGCTCGTCATTTTTCTAGTTCAGCCTGGTTAGAGTATGACCTGGCGTTCAGAAAGGATGCGGCTGCCTCTGGCCTCAGTGACTGGTCAAGGATGAACTTAGACCTATACAACTTTCACTTAAGGTCTCCAGCCTTGGCCTCACCCCCGCCACCTCGGTCGTCTTCTTCCACAGCATCAGCTCCACTTCCTGCCGCCTCCCGTGACACCAGCCTGGTCCCTCCTTTTTGCCATTCATGGAATGATGGGCAGTGCTGCTGGTCCTTTGGTAGGTGTAAATATCGGCACCGCTGCAGTAACTGTGAGGGTGAACACACCCAGATCAATTGTCCATTTCCCAACTCCTCTGGCGCACGATCCCGATCTCCCCAACTCGGAGGGAGAGGGGGATGGTACTGAATGGGCGGTTATGCCCAGTGAGGCTTGTGTACATAGTGTAAATAGTTTTGTTGCGTCGTCAGGGGGGGCAGCGTGATCTGCGTTCCTCGGTCAAGTCGTCTTGTTCTGTTACAGTTGCAGTTAGTATACCCAGCGTTGCAGTTTCTGTTCATTCTTTATCGCCATTAGCCCCAGCCTCCCAGGTCTCTCCACTACGGCTGGATCAATTTCAGACAGAGCTGCAGCATCATCCAGACCAAGCAGCAGTGGCCTACGTGTTGTCCGGATTACGTGAGGATTTTCGTATTGCCTTTGAGTCGTCCATGGTCAATCTTAAGTCCGCTTCTTCGAACATGCGTTCCTCCTTCGAGCACCCATTTGTCATAGACTCCTACTTGCAGACCGAAGTTTCCTCCGGCAGGGTGGCTGGCCCCTTTTTAGCCCCTCCTTTTCCTTCTCTACATATCAGCCTTTTTGGGGTCATTCCCAAGAACAATCAACCAGGCAAATGGCGTCTCATCCTTGACCTCTCCTCTCCTGTTGGGCACAGCGTGAACGATGGCATTCCCAAGCCTCCCTTCACAGTGCAGTACGTTTCAGTTGATGCAGTTATTGAGGGCATCATGGCGCGGGGTCGCGGAACACTAATGGCTAAGTTTGATGTGGCCAGTGCTTGCCAGAATGTGGCTATCCATCCCGACGATCGCCCCTTGCTGGGGATGCAGTGGCGTGGGAAGTACTTTGTCGATCTGGTTCTCCCGTTTGGGTTGCGTTCAGCGCCATTTATTTTCACTTCTATTGCGGACCTAGTTGAATGGATCTTGGTTCATAATTATGGCGTGGACTTCCTACGCCACTACCTGGATGACTTTTTTACTCTTGGTCCACCGTCATCCCCGCTCTGCCACTTCTATTTACTTACCTGTGTTCGCCTTTGCGAAAGCCTTGGCCGCCCCCTTCATCCTGACAAGGTGGAGGGACGGACGACTTGCTTAACTATCCTCGGGATTGAGCTCGACTCCGATAGGCTTCAGGCTCGCCTGCCCACTGAGAAAAGAGTCCGGATTGTTGCCTTACTTGAAGAGTGGTCCACCAAGCGTTTCTGTAAGAGGCGGGAGTTGGAATCCTTGATTGGCAACCTCCATCACGCCTGCAAGGTTGCCCCACAAGGGAGGACTTTTCTTCGTCGGATGATTGACTTGCTTTGTGCCTTCCGCCTGGACGATCACCCCATCAGACTAAACCAAGAATTCCGTCGGGACCTTACCTGGTGGCGGGAGCTTTTTCAAACCTGGGATGGCCTCAGTTTCTTTTGCATGCCCACGTGGGCGCCCGTCCCGGACTTCCAAGTCTCGTCGGATGCTGCAGGCTCACTGGGCTATGGGGCTATTTTTAACACCAAGTGGTTTTGCGGCGCTTGGTCCATGGAGCAACGGTCGTTATCGATCGCGTACAAGGAGCTCTTCCCCATCATTGTAGCCGCCGCTTTATGGGGTTCTCAGTGGGTCTCTCGGCAGGTTGAGTTCCTGTGCGACAATGAGTCAGTGGTGGCTGTACTCAAGTCTGGCACTTCACGGGACCACCACTTGATGGGGTTGCTGCGTCATTTATCCTTGCTGGCTATACGCCACTCATTTATGTTTACTGCGTCTTCAGTTCGCAGCTTGGCCAATCCAGTAGCTGACTCCCTCTCACGCTTTCAATTTCAGCGTTTTCGTCGTCTGGCACCTCAAGCCGACCTGACTCCCTGTGTGATTCCCGAGTCGCTGCTGGCCGCACTCCAGACGTGTTGACCCAGAGATGTCAGTTTCTGCTCTCCCAGGGACTCGCGCCCTCCACTCGGCGTGTTTATCTCTCTGCTCAACGTCGCTACATTCAGTGTTCTCCCTAAATTTTAGCTCAGCAGGTGAGGGACCATTCATGGACGGGAAGGCAAAAAATATATACTTTTCTAAGAGGGGGGAGGGGGGACAGTGGAGTGAGGGACATGGACCCGCCCACTGCGAAATTTTTTATTCCCATATTTTAAGACCTATTTTACGCAAATCTCCTGTCGTTATCTTTAGACAACGTTATCTTTAATGTCCTCTTTCTAAAATGGATGTCCCTAAAAAGGAAAGCTGCATATACAGTACTAGTACAGAACCAAAATTATGCACGCGCAAAAAGTGGCGTAAGAAGTTGCTGCGCCGCAAGAACATGCAAGCCACCGCAAGAAGTGAAAGTGCCGTATTTTTGCGGACCCTTTGTAGTTTACCCGCAAGAACTTTGAAACGAAAGAAGTCAAAAATCTTCACCGCAAGAAGCTAGAAAATTACCGTAAGCCTCAAGAAGGCGCATGAAGTTCTTTACAAGTGTTAACCTGAAAGAAGTTTGTAGTGTTTGTCGCCTTTTTGTTGCAACACCGTTTTGTAGCGTTGATACTAATTCACTCTGTGGCAGCAAAAGGTAATCATGAAAGGACGCACGTAAAAAGTTGCCGGGGAAAGCGAACAGCTTTCTCTGCTTTTTCTGCGAAGTGAACACTTCAATCGTTCAGCTTTTCCAAAGTTACATAAAGCGTGTGAAGCGTTTGTTTAACAAAACGATCTGTAGTTTCGAACATTTCGATTATTTGGATCATTTCATGGTACAATATTATAGTCTCGGCAAAACGAACCAAAGGCGTTGAATTTCTGCCCACAAGAAAACATGGGAATTATTATTACTTTATTGCGTTAATTTGAAAGAACCGTTAGTGAAAATATTCCTTACTTTACTTTAGCATGTTTTTTTTTCGAGAGCACTTTAAGTTGTTGACACAGTTGCACGTGCGGTCTCAAATTACACGGCTCTTTTGTGAAACATACTACGATCGTTCCTTATTTTTTGAAGCGCTGCTTTTCTTTATGAAAATTGTACACGTTTCCTCGCTTAAAAGATTACCTTTGGACAAGATAATTTTAAGAAATTCTTGTGGTTAAATTTATAACCGCAAAAGAAGTTCTTGCGTCTTGCTGGATTCAAGCGCAAGCGCCCTGCAAAAAGCCGCATGAAGTTGCCAGCTTGCGGACGTAAAAAGAAGTTCCTGCACGTGCATTATTTTTGGGCTGTACGTTTTGTACTTAGGTAGCTATACTTTTCCATATATTCATTCATTTTCTTGTGACGATCGGATCGGATCACAACTTGCATATATATGTTTTTTAATTATTTGATTTTGGTAAACCTTTAAGCAGTTGCAGGCGGTAAGAAGTGTTGCTTCAGGCGGTAAATTTTACCGGTTACCGCCTGATAAGGAGAACACTGTTTTAATATTGACTTTTGCCGCCGGGATGGTCGCCTTAACAGTGATGGCTCCTTCCCTCCTGCCGATGAGGAGACTCTCATGCGCTTTGCTTCACTCTTGACCGACAACTTGACCCACGCTTCTATAAAAGTATACCTGTCAGCAGTACGTTCCCTTCACATTGACCATGGCTTGTCGGACCCTTTCGTCAACTGCCTTCGCTTGCAGCGTTTGCTCAGGGGAATTAAGCAGGTTCAAGGTCCAGTATCACCCTGGCGCCAGCCTATCACCCTGGATCATCTGCGGGCGATTCAACATCGTCTGGACTTCTCCAGGAGAGACCATGTGATGCTGTGGGCGGCATGCTGTTTGGGTTTCTTCGGTTTCTTACGAACTGGGGAGTTCACGGTGAATTCTGCATTTCAGCCTAGTATCCATATGACTGTTGCTGACCTGCAAGCTGATTCCCTGGTGAATCCTACCTGTTTTAAAGTTCATATCAAGTGCTCTAAGACTGATCAGTTTCGCATGGGCTGTGATATATATGTGGGGCGTGGTGAGGGCCCGGTGTGTCCCATCCGTGCCCTGGGCAACTTCTTGGCTCTGCGTGGCTCTTCTGAGGGTCCTCTCTTTACTTTTAGTGACGGTCGGCCTCTTACTCGGCAACAGTTGTCATCCACAGTTCAGTCTATCTTGCACTCAGCTGGCTATACTGGCTCCTATTCAGGCCATAGCTTCCGTATTGGGGCGGCAACTACAGCTGCTGCTCAGGGAGTTCCGGATCATCTGATCAAGACCCTAGGCCGGTGGTCTAGTGATGCCTACCAGATTTATATTCGCACTCCAGTTAGCTCCATCGTCCACGTATCCAGACAGCTGGCTGCATAGCAGATATCTCTACTACCTTTGGGGCTGCCGTGGGGGTGGGTGCCTCAGGTTTGAGCCCGCGGGGCCTGGGGCTCCGCAGCCCCGAGCCCCCTTACTCCGGGCTTCCTACCCGGAGGTCCCTTCGGCTTGGCGCGGGGGGGCTCGTGGCTGGGTTGAGGGTTGGTAGGCCTGTGGGTGTTCTTCCGCCTTGGGGTGTATTGCGGTTGCAGCCCCCTGGCCCATGGACACCCAACCTCCACTTGCGACGCAGGCGTTAAACGAACACAATCCACAAGCCCCAGCGTAAAATTTGCCTCGATATAACGAGTAAATGTCACCATGTGATAAAAGATAAATGCCAAACGGACCAAAAAGGATAAAATTTATGTGTACAACAGTTTTAAGCATTTTTGTTTGCCTGTTCTTGAGTTTCTAGTGTCGTAGCTATGCATAGCTCGGTACTGAAGTATTATTACAGTAATTTTTCAGATCCGGAAATATTGGCTTTTGTAAATTAATTATTAACTATACCTCGATATAACGCACAATTTTGGTAGTTTTCCCGAAAATTCGTTAAATGGAGGTGTTCGATATAACGAACCCTAGATTTAACGAGCAAATTTCCCCTGTCCCTTGGCACTTCATTAAATCGAGGTTCCACTGTACGAAGTTACGTCATAGTCGTGTTACGTGTATACAGATGTGCTTGCGCGGGAGTGAGAACTAGGAATAAAAGGGGACTGGAATGTTCATGTTTAATGCTCGTGTTGTTTCATAATTTCGTCCTTGGATTTCTAAGTTACAGCACCTCAGGAGTGTGACGCACATGCAGGGGACTTTTGATACAGGCTTTCTGATCAACATAAAAATGATAATTAATTATTAATTATTAATTGCTGCACCAATTTGATCTGTCAGGGATATAAGACTGTTGATTTTGAGAAATTTCGCAAAACTGATGACATTTCTTGGTTCAGGGGTGATACAACATGACTGAACATGCTTGGACTGACCTTTTTTTTGGGTAATACTGTACTTTGTATCCTGATCTTTGTAAAACTGCATGCACTACTCATGCATGGAGCAACCTCAAATCATGCTATTCCTCATACACCAAAAGTGGACTTAAGTAGTGTTTGATGCAGGTAATCAGGAAAATGTATGCATGATTTTGGCGGTCATTATCCTCAAATGATTACTGTAAAACCACAGGTAGCCCAAGCTTGAAATATAAATGAGCATTGGCACTGTTCTTTCGAAATGTAATTATTTGTGTGGGAAATAAGGGATTGTTGCTGTAATGTATCAGTCAAATTGAATCTTCAAAATACGCTCAACAGACATACACCAGGCATTTGACTTCTTTTCTTTCCCTTCCTTAATTTCAACCACCCCCTCCTCACTAAGTCACTCATGACCCACCCCCTCTGCTCTCTAAGTCATGAGTGGTTAAGGCGAGGAAAGAAACGGTGTCAAATGCCCAGTATGTACTGTATGTTGTGGAGGTATGTTAAAGGATCAATTTGACTGAATCTTTTCGGAAACAATCACTTTTCCCATATAAATACCTTTAGTATAATTAATCAGGTGATTATAGAGATTTGTGCACTCTGGTTGGTGGAGGATTGCATCATATGTTGCTATAACCACCCAGCTGTGTTGCAGTTGTATTTCCAGTCGTCGCTTCTCTCGAGTTGCATGGAGAGAATTTAAAGCTACAACTGGAAACAAGTCTGCGTGTTGCTGAATAATTTCGTTGATTTTGGCTATGTTCACTCTATACCATATAGCCATACTAGGTATGACTTCTGTTCCTACATAACAATGGTGATTTCGATATGATTTCTATAACAGAGCAAAGCTGCGCTGTCCCGATCTAAAGATAGATGTTCATACCATACCAGATAGGTTTTCATGTTGGTCTGAAAAGCTATCCAACCAGTATAGCATCAACATAGCTTTAGTCTGATAATTCAGCAATATTACCCTTATCAAAGGCAAATAATAATATTGTTAATAAGTTTGAATTTTGCACAACAGTGCTAATGCCTATATTTCTAGTTCGGGTGATCTGTGTATATCATACACAAAAATCTGAAAAAAGGCTAGGACTCTCCCAATAAAGCATTACACATTATAAGTCTCTTTTAGCTGTCTCTTTTGTGTACTTGTTGGATTAATTGATGGAAGGACAGGCTAATTGAATGATGAATAGACTGACTAATTTTAAAACCACTATTTTGTTTTCTAGATGGAAGATCTGGACAGACTTTCCATTATCCACATTAGCGGTACAAAGGGAAAGGTATTTACTTTTTTAATTGCAGCCATTCATGCATTTTAGAAGACATATAGAACCTATCTCAGAATAAACAATATTTAGAGTAAGAATACAGTGAAAACTTAATAACATACCCACTATTCTGACAGACAAGGGCTTTGCTCTTGTCCTGGTGGATTTGTTGTAGATAAAATGGCTTTCACTACCTTTAAAGGGAAGGATAAGCAAGTAAGTGCACACAGGTAATATGTAGAACAAGAAAAAAAATCATGAATGTAGAATTATGCAGAATTCTCTTTCGATATGCTCCGCATTATGGGA